TCTTTCTTCTTTCCATGTTTCCATAAGAAACCGTGTGTGTGTGTGTGTGTGTGTGTGTGTGTGTGTCTGCCTGCATGTGTGTATGTGTGCATTTACATAAAGCAAATGTAGGCTATTGTAGAAGGCACTCCTACATTATTTCCAACAAGTTTTAAGATTTTATAACTTTATTAAAAAATCAGAATTTCTCCCATTAGTATTTTATGGTAGATTTAGAAATATTTTTCCACAAATAAATTAAGGAGTAAGAAATGATGACTTCTTATGAAGAAACTATGCATATAATAGTTGATTAAAATATACTACCTTGAAATGTACGTAGAGAAGAAACTGCCTTTAGAGATGTAATAATATAATAATTTTAAATATTCACCATCATTTTTTAAAAAGTAAGGTCTTTGGAGAAAAAACTTGCTGAATCTTTGGTCACTGTTTAAAGGCTGCCCTCACAAAATTTATAAACAGTCTGTGTTCATCTGGATGTGTATTTTATAGATTAAAGGCAGTGCTTGGTATGTCTTAGCTTCTTGGCCATAAAAGGAAAGAAAAGAGAATGTATAGGGCTGTTCACAGGAAAGTGCAATAAATCACAGATTGCCCAGTGATGCCCAAAATGTAAGCCAGGTTGAGTCACACATAGAGCTTTGTTCGGGGTGCTTATGACTGAAAATCAATGATTTTTGGTGTAATTCGTATTTTTTATTATGATAAATATACATAACATTAAAATTACTATTTTAACCTTTTTTAAGCATCAATTTTGTGGCAGTAAGTACATTCACAGCATTGGGCAACCATCACCATTATCTATTTCTTTTTTTTTTTTTTTTTTTTTTTGGGGGGGGAGGAAGGCAGGAAGGAAGGGAAGAAGGACGGTAGGGAGGAAGGAAGGGATGAAGGAAGGAAGGAAGGGAGGAAGCGGGGAGGGAGGGAGGGAGGGAGGGAAGGGAAGAAAGGAAATCAAGCAATGAAAGAGACATTGCCGACCTGGATCTAGAGGTTTACAAGTTGATTTCTTTTTTTTTGAGAGAAGGAAAGAAAAAAAAAAATAAGTAAAGGAGAGGAAGAAAGAGGAAGAGAAAGAGGGAGAGTAAATGGAAATATTGCTTTATTTTGAAAAAAATTGGGTATTAATAATGGCCAATCAATGTTTCATTTAAACTAATGGGTAGGTGTGATGTGGTATTGACAAGAATGTATATTTTGTGTATTTGAAGTGGAGAGCTCTATAAATATTTATTAAGTTTACTTGTTCTGGATCTGAGTTCGAGTCCTTGATATCCTTATTAATTTTCTGTCTCATTGAATCTAAGTCTCCTATCTGGGTGTTAGGATCGTTAGCTCTTGTTGTTGCATTGATCCTTTTACCACTATATCTTTGTTGCTTTAAAATCTATTTTATCCGATACAAGAATTGCAACTCCTGCTTTTTATTTATTTATTATTTATTTTTGCTCTCCATTTGGTTGGTAAATCTTTCTCCATCCCTTTGTTTTGAGTCTTTGTGTATCCCTGCATGTGAAACAGGTCTGGATGTAACATGCCGTTGGGTTTTGGCTGTGTCTTTTGATTGGGAATTTAGTCAATTTAAATTTAGGGTTACTGCCATTTGATGTTGACTGGCTGTTTTATCCATGTGTTGGTGTAAATTCTTCTTTATGTTGGTGCTCTTTACTTTTTGGTGTATTTTTAGAAAGGCTAATACTGGTTGTTTCTTTCTGTGTGTAATGCTTCTTTCAGAAGCTCTTGTAAAGCAGGCCTGGTGGTAATAAAATCTCTGAGTTCTTGCTTGTTCATAAAAGATTTTATTTTTCCTTCAGTTGTGAAGCTTAGTTTGGCTGGATATGAAATTCTGGGCTGAAGGTTCTGTTCTTTGAGGATGTTGAATATTGGCCCCCACTCTCTTCTGGCCTGTAGAGTTTCTGCCGAGAGATCTGCTGTAAGTCTGATAGGCTTGCCTTTGTGGGTTATCCGACCTTTCTCTCTGGCTGCCCTTAGTATCCTCTCCTTCGTTTCAACCCTGGTGAATCTAACGATTATGTGCCTTGGGGTTGCTCTTCTTGAGGAATATCTTTGTGGTGTTCTCTGTATTACCTGGGGTTGAATGTTGACCTGCTTTGCTAGTTTAGGAAAATTTTCCTGAATAATATCCTGAAGGGTATTTTCCAGCTTGGATTCATTCTCTCCGTTGCATTCAGGTACACCTATCAAACGTAAATTTGGTCTTTTCACATAGTCCCACATTTCTTGGAGACTTTGCTCATTCCTTTTTATCCTTTTTTCTCTAATCTTTTCTTCACGTTTTATTTCTTTAAGTTGGACTTTGACCTCTGATATCCCTTCTTCTGCTTGAACAATTCGAGTGTTTAAACCTGTGCATACTTCTCGGAGTTCCTGTATTGTATTCTTCAGTTCCATTAATTCACTCATACTCCTCTCTAAGTTGTCTATTCTCAATAGGATTTCATCAAGCCTTTTGTCAAAGTTCCTAGTTTCTTTACGTTGGGCTACAACATGTTCTTTTAACTCACCGAAGTTTGTTATTATCCATTCCTTGAAGAGTGATTCTGTCATCAGGAGGCGCTCGTTCTCCATCAAGCCTTGTTCCATTGTTGATGTGGAACTGTGATCATCTTTAGAGGGAGAGGCGTTCTGACTTTGAGTATTCTCAGCTTTTTTACGCTGGTTTCTTCCCGTCATTGTAAATTTATCCTCCTCTCGTCTTTGAAATTACCAACTTTCAGATTAGGTCTCTTGAGTGGACGTCCAGGTTGTTAGTTCCCAGGGCCAGAGCAGCGGCGTTAAAACTGATGGTGCTTTTCTGCCCAGGATTCTCCTGTCGGGCTTCCTTCTTGTTTCCGTAGTAGGCGACTCTGCCTTCCCGGGGCTCCAAACCTCGGTCAGAAGGGGAAGCGGTCCCGTTTACTCTGCTCCGAGAGCTGCCGCGCCGAGGTGCCGGCGGAACCGCTGCCCTGACCACGAGAGTCGCGCTGGCGACCTGTGTGTTTCCACCACTGGGGGATCTTCTGCTCCGTGAGCGACCAGACTTTGTCTGAAAGTGTGGCGTCCTCTAGTTCTCCGCGCCTTCCCTGAGAGCTGCAATCCCGGGATGTTAGCGATCGGCCATCTTGGATCGTTTCCACCATTATCTATTTCAAGAGCTTCTTCATCATCTCAAGCAGAAGCTCATAATTATTAAACAGTAATCCCTCACGCCCCTCCCTGCCCTTCATTCTGGTAATCTCTGTTCTTCTTTCTGCCTCTATGAATTTGTCTATTCTGGGTATCTTATATGTATTAGTCCATTTTCATGCTGCTGATAAAGACATACACAAGACTGGGCAGTTTACGAAAGAAACAGGTTTAATGGACTTATAGTTCCACATGGATGGGGAGACCTCATAATCATGGCAGAAGGTGAAAGGGACATCTCACATGGTGGCAGACAAGAGAAGAAAGCTTGTGCAGGGAAACTCCTCTTTTTAAAACCATCAGATCTCATGAGACTTACTCATTATCACGAGAACATCATGGGAAAGACCTGCCCCCATGATTTGGTTACCTCCCACTAGGTCCTTTCTACACAACACGTGGGAATTCAAGATGAGATTTGGGTAGGGACACAGCCAAACCATATCATCATATAAATGGAGCTGTATAGTATTTGTTCATATTTTGTCTGGCTTATTTCACTTAGCATAATGTTTTCAAGGTTTATTCATGTATTGGAATTTCATTCCTTTCTGTGTCTGAATAGAATTCTGTGGTACATATCAGTCATGTTTTGTTTATCCATCCATGTGCTGATGAGTGCATGGGTTGTTTCCATCTTTTGGCAACTGTGAATCATGCTGCTGTGGGTATTGTTGTTCAGGTATCAGTTTGAGTCCCTGATAATTAGTGTCTTAAAAGGTGTCTTTTTGTAGGCTGAGATTTTCCAAGAGAAGGCTCAAGGACGCCTCATTGAACAGCATCCCCTTGCTGTCATGAGGGCAGGCGGCTGGCATAGTGCTGTGCAGTCTCCACGGTAAAGCTGCACCCCTGCCTGTGAACGTGCACAATGTGGAACCTGTGCATCAGCCAAGAAGCAGCCACGCTGTGTGTGCTGGCACATTTAAACTAGGGTAGCTACCATGACTGCACCCAGCCCAAACATTCAGTTTTCAGGATTCAAGGACAGATACCGATGATGACTTTGTGGCTTCCACCCTTGAGGCCAGAGCCACTGCCACACCCCCAGGGATGGTGACAGGAGCCATCACACTGACAGCTACAAGGAAGAAAGCACAAGAAGACATCAGCACGCTGAGCATGGGGCGTGCAGAAAGGAAATAAGTGGGGAGCCCCTCTCAGTGAGAGGCAGGAAGAGCAGGCGGTCTGAGGCTCTGCCAGATAGGGCAGGAAAGAGGAGATGAGCATGAGAGTACAGAGGGAAGGGGCTAGTGTGGTGCCCCGCTCAGGCTTGGGAAGCAGCGTCTGCACCCATCTGTTGTCACCGTGGCCGCTTCTGGGCTGGGTTACTTTTCAGTTTCTGTGTATTCTTTCTCCTCTTTATTAATTTTATTTTTTATTATTGTTTGGTAGTTTCCATAAAGTTTTCTATATAGTCTACAGGCTTAAATGGTCTTCCAGCTACACAAAGAAATTCTTGTCCCCCTAGAATGATAGTTCACAACCAAGCCTGCTCCATATGTCCTCACTGATAACACGTCTGATGTCTGTCTCGAGGAAGGGGGCCTGTGACAAGATGTGCTGAGTTGTACTGTTGGCTTCAGTTGTGTGCGAGAAAACAGAACTGAAACCTGGAGTTGCCCAGGGCTTTAGAACAAGGAGGAGGAAAACGATGTCCAAGAAAGGGACAGCCATGGAAGCGGCCATCCTGGGGCAGGAACGAGGCTGGCTGGCTGGGGCTCCCCCGAGGGGCCCACCCAAACCCTAGGGTCCAGCCTGCCATAAGGCCCTTATGGGACAGAATCTAAGTCTCTCCTCATTCTTTCCAGTTGGATGCCAGTTCACTTCCCAACGAGATGTCACGTGCTTTTGCATCTGGCTCACGCCACCACCAAAGCAGAGAGTCTCCCGCTCAGCTTGTGTCACACTCTGTAAGCGTCTTAATTTCCATCTAAAACCAATGCTCTTGTATGGAAGAGTTTTCCTAACTTCTTTTCCTTTTATTTCCCTTTCCCCGCTTCACTCTTCTACATATCCTTTGGTTCAGCTGGTCTCTCTCAGCCTTATTGCTCCTTCGATTTTAATATGTTGACGAAAAGTCTTGTCAGTTCCAAAGAGGAGTGTCTGTCCTTTGATAATTAGGCCCTAATAGCAGGGGAGAGAGCACACATCATCGGTTTTTCTCTGGGTGGTTTGACATCCTGTAAACTGTATGTGAAATCACTTTTGCCATTGGCTCTTGGCATAGTTAATTGCATTGTGGAAAATATGACCCACTTATCTCCCTGAAATGATAGAAATAATGCCCTATTTTTGAATTTTGTTAAAATTTTTCCTATGAATTAACAGATGGGTATTTTTATTACAGATTTTATATTCTTGTGAAGTTAGGGTTCTAAATTAATTCTGTTCTATATATAGGATATATAGAAATCATGCAGTTGGAAAAGTTCATACTTCAAACACCTTTTCCATGCAGAGTGAAAAAGGCTTTTTTCTAAACATTGGTTTTTCTCCTAGAGAGAGAAGAAAGCCAAAATGATTAATAGTGGCTCTTTTTCTCTACTTTGTAGAAAGGGGAGGGGGGATGATTAGCACTTGTGAATACTAAACAAGAAAAGAATCCTAACTGGCAGGGTAATATTGCTTTTTATGGTTATCACTTATTAAGCATACTACTTCATTTGATCCTTAAAAAACACTATATATATAAGGAAGGTATTACTATTATTCCCACTTTTTTTCTTTGTTTGTTTGTTTTGAGACAAAGTTTCACTCTTATTGCCCAGGCTGGAGTGCAGTGGTGTGATCTCAGCTCACTGCAACCTCCGCCTCCTGGGTTCAAGTGATTCTCCTGCTTCAGCCTCCAAAGTAGCTGGGATTAAAGGTGCCTGTCACCACACCCAGCTACTTTTTAAAAATATTTAGTAGAGACAGGGTTTCACCATGTTGACCAGGCTGGTCTTGAACTCCTGACCTCAGGTGATCTGCCCCCCTTGGCCTCTCAAAGTGCTGGCATAAGCCACTGTGCTCGGCCCCCAACTTTTAAATAAGGAAATTGAGACCCAGGCTGGATCTATGTGCCTGGATTTGGATGTGAGCATCCATGTCCTTAATTCACCTTTCCCTTTTACCCACATGACCTGGGCACTTTCACATGGTTGCCTGACAGTTGAGACTAGGTGAGGATGTTGGGTCAACTTTTTAATAAAGTTAATTATCCAATGCAAAACAAACTACAATTTGAATTTTCAAAATTTTTCTAAAGGCATATCGTGGAGGCTTTTAAAAATTGGTTGAAATTACACATTCAGTACTGAGAGACACTGACAGGTGCAATTACTTCCCATAATAAAAACAGAAGAAATAAAATGCCCAGAAGAGTCAAAACAAAATAGTGGCCTATGCAGGTATGTGACTAGGGTACCTTGAGGCTGCCTCAGAGCTTGAACTCTGTGGCAAGAACAAGTGAGTTGATACCCAGTGGGATAAAGGAACATTCTTCCCCTGGCCTTCGCCTACCTGCAGGCCATTTGCTGCTTGATCTCCAAGGGGCCCCTTCTCTGAACACAAGTTAGTATTTTGAAGCACATTTGCACCTCCGGATGGATGTCGTGGCGGCAAGTGTGTGCTCCCTAGGAAGGTTGATGCAGCCTGTGAGTGGGGTGGAAGTGGAAGGAGGATGGAAAGTTGGGGCAACTATGCCAGAGACACACCCATGCTCTACCCCAGTGAACCCAAGGGGCAAAACATGACTGGCTGAACAGATGACTGATTGAAAAAGCAAAAGTACCTCCATGCCACGACTCTGCCTGTTGCTGGCCTGGTTGTGTATGTGTCAGAGTTAGCTGTGATGTGGTCAAGCAGAGCACCCTAGAGCGAGAGCCTCCTTCCCCCACAAGTCCTTGGGCAAGTCACTTAACCTTCGCTTGCCTCCATTTTCTCCTGGGTTAGTGGATCACACCGCCTGTCCTCGGGAAGAAGTGGAGCCAACCACGCGAGGGATGGAAGTGCACACAGGAGGGTACTGTAGCTACTCAGGCAAGCCACTCTTCCCATACTTCCTCCAAGGAAGCTTCTCTTTTGGATGGGAGTGATTCTGTTGAATAATAAAATCAGAGAAGCTAAGCCTTAGAAGGACCCAGGACATGTACTTTCATCTTTGGAACAGTGATAAAGCAGAGGAAGTCATGCGGTCTCCTGGGAGACGGAAGGTCTCTCCAGGCAGGGAGCAGCCACATTAGAGAAGGAAGTGGGCAGGCCTTCCACACAAACGAGCGTCCTGATTGGGCCTCTCTCCTTCTCTCACTCAGAAACCATTAGAGTCCAGCTTGATTGCAGAAATGGATCTAGATAGACAGCTCTAGGAGGAGCCATCCCAACACAATGCTGCCACAAGTCTGAATAATGCACACACTTGCCCTTATATACCCACAGGAGGTCTTCCAGATTTTTTAGCTTGCAGATAAAGATCCAGCAACATCTGGATTTTCTCAGATCAGCACTTAATGTGAGAAGCTGGTCATATATTGGTGTCATTTAGAAGACAAAACATGAGATTGATGTGTTTATAAGAGCACAAAGTAGATTCTCCACACAAGAAAGGCATGGTAAATGAGCACTCCAGGCCTGCATTTCAGCAGGGGCGTGCGAAGGAATGATGCCTCATGAGGCCTCCTCCATTATCCCCCATGTAGCGTCTGTTCTGTGAGCCGATCCACTGAGCTATCACCTAGGTGAGGCATGAGCTCTTTGGGAGAAAGGAGCAGCTCTCTCTCTGGTGGCTGCTGCAGGGACTCTCTGCAGGCTCTGTGCCCTGGTCATTGCATTGGGGGCTGGGGCCTGAGGCACCCCAGTGGGGACTTGCGGACGATGGCTTTAGCTGTTGAAAGGCTGCAGTGAAAACACTGTCTCTGGCAACTGATCCTGCTTTTCAGCACTGTCTGCAGTGTTCTGCCTCATAAATATAATATACTAGCAGAGATATTCACAGTTGGGGGTGTTAACCTTCTTAGCCTGTGTGTTCATTCCAGACAGCACCAGAGATAATCAGACTGGCTTCTTTGGTTTTCATCACATGAAACAATGGCTGATTTTATTTTTTCTGTCAAATGCGAGCTCCCAGCTGGAGCCCTGGCCCAGCCACCTTCCTTGGAGAGGGCCTGGGCAGGACAGAACTGAGGGTGGGCAGGTGCAGCTGGGGCACTTCTCCCTCTGTTCTGCTCTGTCCCCGTCCTTAGTCCCAGGGCTGGCTATTGTTTTTTGATGATTTTCTTCTGTTCCCAGCTTGCCTTTTAGGGGAAGCATGTTCATTCCCAGGCCTCACTGGCTGACCCACATTAAAGACCAGGGCTGGCCAGCCTTTTCTGCAGCATGAGAGCAGCTCTCTAGCCTCCAGGGGTTTGTCCTGCTGTAGGAGCAGGTGGCATCCTGTGCCTCTCCCTGCAGAGGTTACAGCTCTTGCCTAATTAAATCATCTGTAGTTCCCAGGACAGTTAGCAGAGGCCGATGGAGGAGGGAGGGAGAGTTTTTGCTCCTTAAGAATCATGAGATCATGGAGCAAAAAGTTACCCCTCCTCTTAAATCAGTTAATCAGTTAAAGTATGTGCCCTGGGGCTTAGAGCTGGGGATCCAGGCTGCCAGTGCTTGGACTTAAGAACTGCTGAAGATTTGCCCAAGGGGCATCAATAGCTTTTGTGTAGTAATGCTAGCCAGTGATGCTTTTGATATTTCAGTGTAATGTAGTAGATGATTTATGGAACCAAGCAGTGGCTCCCGATAACAAGGATCCTAGGCAGATATGGGTCAGTAAATCGGACAGGGTGTTATTAGGCCTCGCCTAGTGGGAGAGTCTCTTGGATAGGAAGCCTTCAGCCTGGGAAGGCAATTAGGGCTTCAGAGTCTCATTTGCTGTCCTCAAATGTACATTAAGCCTTACTTTGTCCTCTGTGCAAAGATGTATTTGATGATCCCCAGTGGCACAGAGCTAATCCTGCCTGGGGGTTAATCCTGCGGTTTAATCTCCTGTTCATTTCTGTCTGGCTTGAGTGCCCAGGGTCCATCAGTCTTATCCATTATTTCCAGGTGAGGCAGAGCAGAGGTTTAATGGGGGTGTGGATGTTTGCATTACACTCAGTCAATTCCATTGTCTTTAAAAAGTAAGAACCTTTCTGATTTGAAAAAATAATATTAATCTTAACTATTTGGGGGAATGGAAAAAATCTACAAACAAAAACATAAAGTCGTCCATAATTCTATTCCCCGTTGATAAGACCTGTTAGCATTTTAGTGTATTTGTTTCCAAACATTTCCAAGACAAAAATATGGGGAATTTAATCTTGTTGAGATGATATTAAGTACATATTTTGAATCCAACATTTAAAATGTGGATGTTTTATGAAAAATTTTTTGTCATTAAAATGTTTTAGTAAATATTTTTAATGGCTACACAATATTATATTAACTGTTTTTAGTGCAAATGAAAATTTATGTGCCTGATATCTTTCTTCCCAACATTTTATTATGAAAATTTTCAAACAGATAGCAAACCTTAAAGAATTTTATAGTGAATACATCTGTTATCCCCACCATTCACGCTGTATGCTAACACTGCACTATACTCAGTTTATCACATGTCTGTCTACCTATCTTTTTATTCATTCACCCATCTTATTTCTTAGTGCATTTGAAAATAAATTGTAGATATTCACTGTCTCTAAAATACATGTTGTTAACTCGAGTTAAATTTTTGTTTGTATCTTTTTTGAGTTAACTCACATAGACAGAAATGCACAAATCTTAAGTTCACATTTGCTGAGTTTTACAACTGTATATACAAAGTTTTACTACTTGTAATGGTGTACTCTATAATTAGAACGATACTTAAAGTCAAATCAGAGGGTCTGTAGGGTATGTTGGCAGATTAGTGTAA